ATCTGTCTTCTTCAGTGACTCCAGTCCCCTCAACGTCCGCCACCATATTCCAGTGAGGTCCACATCACCGCCTTCCCGGTACCGTCCGTTCAGGTTGCTCAACCCGCACCACCTCCCGCCGTACCACCAGGCCCCCTGGTTGAGCTGTGCACAGTGGCGGACAGACGAGTCCTGGTCACGGTCATGGGTAGAGAACTTCTCATTGACGCTCCAGTACAGACCATCCCTGGCAGTTCCTGAGTAGTTGGTATATCTCAGTCTGTACCCATCCAGCTCAGACGAGACGCTGAGCCCTTGATATACAGCGTATGACTGATTACCGTCAAAAGCCTCCAGATCAATGCGGAGCTCGAACTGTGGGTCTGATGACGTTAGCTGATAAACGTGCTCTAGGCCCCACCAGAACTCTTTGGTAACATTACCAAAGCCCTCCTTGTAGTCGGTCCATCCGAGGTAGAAGTACTGGTGGGGCTTGATATCGTCTCGTCGTTGGATCACCGTCCAGTTCCCTCCGGCAGTATCCATGTCACAGTAGGCCTCGACGGGTGGTTGTGTGTTGTTACCACTGGGCCGAAGGAGGTAGACTCCAGATGGCGAGTTGACAGGCAGGCCGCTGCAGTCAAGGGGAGGATGGTGATGGTTTACCTTAGCAGCTTGGCCATCAATACGCTCCTGTTGGGATGATGTGTTGTTTTTAGCTCCGGTCAGCTTGGATCCTAGAATGTCAACCTGGGAGGTCAGGTTATCCATTCTGACTGAAACCTCACGCTGAGTAGTTTTTTGTTCGTTCAGCCGGGTGTTGAGCTCACTCAGTTGAGATTGCTGGCTGTCGAGCCTTGTAGCCAGTTGGGACGTCTGTGTGAGTTGATCTCCTTGCTGTGTAACGATGATATCCAGTTGCGCCGTGAGCTTGTTCACTGTGGCTGCGGTCTCCTCTTGTTGTGATTTTTGTTGGTTCAGTTGTGATTGCTGGCTGTCGAGTCTGGCAGTGATTGCAGTCAGTTGAGTGGACAGCTCTTCCATCTGCTCACTCTGTCTGCTCCTCAAAATGTGGGTGGTCCATTCAGTCACTCGAGAGTCGAGTAGAGTCAGTCTATTGTCCAGCGACTCCACCCGAGACCCGAGTCTGCTGACGACTTTGTCCAGCGACTCTACTCGAGACTCGAGCTTGCTGACGACGGGCTGGAGCTCTTGTTGAACTGCTCTTGCGATGTAGCCGTACACCTCGTCGGCAGTGGCGCTGGGCAGGGCGGCCGGCTGCTGCTGCTGCGCCGCGGACCGCCCGGCCAGGGCGGTCCAGACGACAAGTATCACACCGATCACTGAGTACACTGCCATGCTGGATTGGCAGGAGGTGCCGGCGGCGTCGGCTGCCGCCCTCGGACTGACGGCTCGGAGTTGGCAGGACATCTGCAGAGCTCGGCGCGGCTGGCCTCTGCCAGAGGTGCCACATCCGGTGACGCGGCCCGGTCCCGTGACCGACTGACTCAGCGACAAACATTTACCTTGGCTTCTGACCACTGCGTTGGATGGGTGTTATTTCTGTTCACGGTAGCCACATCCAATAACCCGTGTATATGTCGATGGTGGGTGAGATCACTTTTATAGTGACGTGCTAGTGCTAATGATTAGTGATGTAAATATGTCTGATGAGAGAGCGAGAGCGAGAGCGAGAGCGAGAGAGAGAGAGAGAGAGAGAGAGAGAGAGCCAGAGAGCCAGAGAGCCAGAGAGACACAGAGGCAGAGAGACAGAGAGACAGACAGAGACAGAGACTGTCTTCGCACGGCCCTCCGTCTGAACCCGGTATACAGACGGGCGTCCAGACGAAGCAGGCCAACCTGCAGCCGGACAGGTGCTGGTAGAGGCGCAGCTCCAACTCGAGACGCTCGGTACGTCAGGAGGGGGCGGGGTGGACAGCTGTTCAGTTCCTGGTGGATAAACAATGACTGTGTGGTAGACGCTAGCTAAAATACTAGTAGTGACATAAACTCTAAGATGTCCAGAGCTAATCAGTACCTTAATATTTCACTTTCCGTCAATAGTTGGAAGACACATAATGATTTCATCAACTCGTTGTAAAGCGCTTGGGAGGTGGCCGGCGTTACCCCTATGCCGGGCTTACCCCAGAAAAATCAACAATTTTTTAAAACTCGATTTTCTCAACCTTATACTATTTCCACGAAACCAATTTTTTGGGAACACACGGCCAATTAACTTATCTAGCTAACAGCATATCAACATTTTATACAGCACGTATGGTAGGTATGTAATAAAAATGAAAAAGAGCTTTCTATGCCGGGCTTCCCTCGGCTTCCCCTATATTTGTCCCTCATCTGAGACCGGCGACATTCGGAGAGCTCAAGGCGCCATTTAATGTCTCGACAGCGGTCAGCTACCTGAACACGGTGCTGAAGCAGATGTTGGCGGAGGTCAGGCAGGCAGAAGAAAGCATCAACAGGTGCTGGACGCGCGGGGGGCTGAATTGGCTAGTTAGACTGCTAGAATACAGGCTGCTAACAGCTTGACATGCAAAGATCAACTCCGTGTAAGACAACTACAAAACCATGGTAACATAAATAGTGTAATATGGACTTAACATTATCTTGGTCGGGATACAAGGTTATGGATACGAAAATGCAGGAGAGACTGATGCTGTTGATTACCTGTGCCAGCAGTTAATGATACCACACGGGCACACCCTGCAGCTATCACAGTCCACGATCCTCGTTTGGTTAGTTCTATATTGTTTCAGCCGATCACAGAGCTCTGTATACCGAGGTATCCGGAGGTCTATGATCTAATTTATCTATAACTCGTGTGTTTACATATTTTAACCCTTGCATGTGTAAGGGGGGAGGGGGGGGGGGGGTCGGATAGACCCCCCATGGTTTTTCGCGAATAACTCGCGCAAACCGATATAAAAATTCCGAGATATACAAATTGTAGGTAGCTACTAATGAACTAATAATATCCTGCGACTTTCAAAGGCCTTTGACATCTACTGTAGCTCTGGCACGGTGACAAAGTTGCAAAAAAGTGACGAGGTCGGGTCATTCAATGTGACCTGGTGACCTGACCTTAAGAGTTAGGAGGTTCAAACTTGCACACCATGTGTAAAATTGATGAGAGAATAGTCGTACCAAATTTCGCGGCGCTACGCGCCACGGTTTTTCCGCTATTCGCGAAAAACCTCAGGGGGGGGGGGGGCGGATATCCGCCCCCCGTCGGTACGTGTGTTAATTCTCGCCCGTATGGGGGGGGGGGGGGGGGTCGAACGGACTCCCCCCGTTTTTTTTTTTGCAAAAAATTAGCGTAAAAGGCGGCCGATCGCGACTTACCTAACTTGCAGTTCCCTCGAGTTGATCCATTTTACACGAAAATTTCATGACCCTGACCCAAATGACCTTTGACCTATGACCTATTTCTCGAGACCATGGCCTCGTTTCATAAAGTGAGTCCGTAACTTACGCCGGTTTTCCAAAAACCGCCGTAAGTTACGGACTCGCTTTATGAAACGAGGCCTATGTTTGGCCGAAATCGCGATTCGGCGAAGGTATGTATGTCGGCTCGCACGCGCGTTTGCAGTCTTTTCGTGGTTTCAAGCGTTCAAACATGTGATTTGATGTTGCTACTTGCTCCCATGCATAAGGATGGGTGTCAAGGTCACCTGACGGTCAGGTCAGGTCATTGACCTTTGATGATCTCGGTTCACTTTTTCGAGTTTTAGGTAGGTACATGTTTCTAGGCTGGGCTAGTTTTTGGAGCTAAATTTAAATATAGCAACCATTTAAACATTTACGAAGTAGTTTCGGTGCCTTCGTAACATGTTACGAAGTTAAGCTGTCAGAGGCGGTTGACACTTACTTCGAACACCCGGCAGGACCCCTGCTGGTTGACCTGACCTGACCTGATCCGATCAGTCTAAATGCATGAAGACATCATCTGTGACCAAAACTAACACGATATGCGTGATCAGCAGCCTGATTCTGAAATACCTCATAGCAGCGACAGTTTATGACGTTTTAACAGGTCCCGATTTTCCCGACTTTTGGGTCATTGACCTGATCTGGAAGGTCAACCAATGACCTATGACCTTAAAATTGGATATCATTGACTTCCTGTCGTCACGAGCAACACGTTCGTTTTTCCGTGAAGGTCTAGCTCGATCAGGGGCGAAACGACAAGGGGTGTCCACTGTCCAACGGACCCCTCCCCCTTAATGTCCGTGAAGTTGGCGACGTCGCCAGCGACTTTTCCAGCGACGAGCACCGATTTTAGCCAAAACGTCGTTCAAGGTCAATTGCCCCTTATACGCTCGCGGCTGGCAAACCACCAATACCTACCTACGGGCGGGGGGAGGGGGTGTATTCCATAACGCGAGTGACTGCGGAGGGGGGGGGGGGTAGGCTATAGATAGGCCAGGCCACCTCTTATTTTCGAAAGTAATGGTCCGATAGCCATAATTTAAACGGCGTCTGATGACCTCGGAGGTCACTGATCAGACGTCACAGTTAAGGTCAAAATAAACATTTAAACATTCTAGCATGTTCACACTTAAGGCTCTGGGCTCCGGCCACCGCTGAACAAGTCACATCGAGCTCATTTTGGCTTATTGCACACCCGGACAACGTTTAAGATACGTTGAGTATACAGAACTTGTACTTGGTAATTGGTAGGTATGTGCTAGGTCAAGACTAGGTCAGACTAGGTGATGGAAATTTTAAATATTTTATGTCGCGTGATGCCTAGCGTCCAAACTTATATCATATATAATATACTGTGGCTGTCAGTAGATACTGTAGCCAAGAAAATAAGAATCTGCATTAACCACTGCAGCTCATGCGTCGCCGAACATATGTATTAGGTACGAACTCACAGGAAGGCAACTTTTCCTTCGCGTTGAAGTTGCGCTTCCCTCTTGCAAAGCACACACACACTGTCTGTTCCTCGGTGCATAGACCTCCCCTCCCACCCCATCCCTCAGTGTCAATGAGCCACGAGTAATAAAGTTTAGCACTGCCGAAGCAAGTACTCGAGTAATGCCAGTTTCGGACCACTGCGAGCCCGCAAGCTCGCGTCTCCAGCGGATCTTCTCCTAGCTGTGTTGGTCGCGTCTGCAGTCAGGATAGAGCCGGTGGCAGTCGTCGGCCCGCATCGCCTCAGGGATGACCCAGCAGAGGTCACTGAACCGGTGCCCGGTCCGCTTAGAGATGAGCCAAGAGAGCGGCAGGCTGAGGGGAGACCGTGCCTCGGTTAGAATTGAAGATACCACGAGGAAAAAGAGTCCACACTACAAGGGCGAATCGCTGCAAATAATGAGCAGGTGTGATGCGTGAGTCTTATCTGCATTGCTTTTCATTTTCAACAATGAATACACTCACGACAGCTGGTCTGCACCTCAAACCTCGTCTGGGGTTCTGTTCGACCTACCTTGCCAGCGGCAGCGTGGTGTCGTGGGGCCGGCCGGCGCGGTGACCTTCACGCACCAGCTGACAGAGGTCACGCTGCACGCAGGGCAGGTCACCGGGCGTGAGTGCCAGCGCAGCAATCCGACCCACCAGGGCCAGCCCGGTCGGTTGGTCGGACGAATCTGAAGCATAATACGGTGTAAGATACGTGGCTACGGACGATAAAAGATACTGGATTAGCAGAATGACCGTCGGCTTTTAGGACATCCCTTAGATAAGGAGGACACCCACCGTGTTCGGCAATTTTCACCGAGTGGCTGCTCACACATGCCCATTGAGAATCAGTTCGGCTATTTACACCTCACGTTACATTCATTCCGTGCGATAATGTTGTTCGACTATTAAAACAATTACCAATGAACCTGATAGATAATGAGCCCCATCTCTCTAGTTCTATGACCCAGGGCCGGAGACTGACCGTCGAGCAATCGGCCGCCTCCGGTCCCGCTGCCGGTCATGCTCGTGCCAGTGCCGGTCGTAGTGGTGGTTGTCGTCGTGGTGGTCATCGCTGCGATGGTCATCATCGAAGTCAGCAGGGCCTGTGCCGACTGGGACAGCGAGAAGCCCGAGAGGGCACCCAGTCCCGCCAGGCCCGCCAGCGCCCCGATCATCTCCGAGAAACAGTCGTCGCCGAACTGGCGCGACGAGAAGCGGTGCACGCCGGAACGAACCCGACTCAGCCACGGCGCAGACGGCGGAGCGATGTCAGGTATCTCGTTAGAAGAGACAAGACGCAGGGAAGGCTCACCGTCGTCATTGATTCCGATGGTTTTAAGCGGCTTCCCGTTGGAAGTCGGGGTAAATTCATGATTATTTTCGCCGTTAGTTGAAGACCAGGGAAACTTCCCATCAGTACTCTCGTCTCCGTGTCCATCCTGGTTCCCGCTCACGCTCTCCCGGCGTCTGGCCGTCTCGGAGCTGCTGGCGAGGAGGTCGGCGGCGGTGCACGTGGCGGTGACCGCGGTCCTGGCCAGCCAGGGGTCGGCGCCGGCCGCCCGCCGGCTGGTCGCCGCCACTGTGGACGTCAGGCTGTTGGTGAGCAGGATATAGACGAGGAAGGCCAGCAGGGAGGCGGCGCCGGCTCCCAGGCCGATCGTCTGGAAGTCGCCGCACACGTCACCGTTCCCGGTGTGGTAGGTATCGGAGCGGTCGAGCGCCACGCCGGCCCGGTCCGATTTGGTGGCCGCCGCCGGGTAGGACGGGTGCGGGCGGGTCCGCTGGGCGGGGCTGCGCTCAGAGGTCGGCTGCCGAGCACCGCTGTCAGAGAAGATGCTGTCGTACCTGAGCCGAGGGGTGGTGGAGCGGACGGGCCGCCGACTGGGCGGCTCGCGGAGGTAGCCGGTCGGGTAGCGGGCGGTGCTGGTTCTCGGCGCGGGTAGGTAGCCGGCGGAGTAGTCCGAGGGGACGTAGCCGGAAGAATAGTCGTCAGAGCGGGTGTAGCCGGACTTGTAGTCATTGGCGCGGGTGTAGTCGGCGGAGTAGTCCTCCGAGCGTATATAGCCGCTGGAGTAGTCGTCCGTGCGGATGTAGCCGGCCAGCGCTAGATGAATGATCGAGAAGAGAGCGGCGATGGACGTCCAGAGACGCATGATGGCGTTCGGGGCTGGAAAGAAGGATATGCTGGCAACCGGGCAGTCGAGGACTGAGAGCTGAACCGCGTAGAAGGTCGAGGCTTAGAGAGAATTTGCTTTCTTCTACTTCTAGTGACCAAAAAGAAGGAAGAATTTAGGTGACGAAGTTTCCACTACTGTGGATGTCTTGCTTGGATTATTCCGGACTCAGTCTTCAGGTACAATAATTTAATTAAGATCAGATAGCTCAACTAAGACTTCACCGGCTTCGGAGGACAGAGGCTCCACAGCGTCTGTGATCACTGATCGCCACCGCCTTTGTGTTCCTCAGCACCCGTCTCCGCTGAGGCTCACGAGGCCACGCACAGGTGACGGTCTTCGTGCACAAACTGACCGGCGGCGTCGGACGCTGACGAGGCTGGGAGAGAACCGCCTCCCCTCCTGACCGGAGATGGCAGGTGGATAGTCACGGCTGACGGTATGCTGACCGCTGCGCCGCCGCTCCAGGTCACGGGTCACAGGTCACTGGCTACTGGGTCATATACGACCGCTACCTCGCTGTCTGAGACGGAGACGAACACGCACCTTATGTATACCTATCAAGGTGCATATCTGATGGCATCGGTTATCTTAATATCCACGAAGGACTGCTGAGTTAGATATGTCAATGCAGGCCGCTCTTGGAAGGGCATCTTTACTCCTTTGTTTTTTTTTTTTTGCACCTGATCATACGTACACTGAAAATAATTTAACTCTCGCCCCGTTGGGGGGGGGGGGAGGCAATGTGACCCCCTGTGCTTTTTCCTGAATAGCAAGTAAACGGCGCCGCCAAATTTTCAGTACCTTTCCGGGCATCAATTTGACACCTGCACACAAAATTTCAAGTCGTAGGTCACCTTAGGTCAGGAGTCATTGAGGTCAAACTGAGGTCATGTTAGTGCAAAAATGAACAAAAAATATAAAATCTTGAAACGCTCACAAAAGCTACAGTTAAAAAGCAACTTCACAGTTCTTTAAATGGTCCTGTAGAGAAACGGCGGCGCTATAAAACTGCTATCTCGGATTTCGAAAATTTGAGGACTTTGACCCCCAAAAATAAAGTTTTTTTTTTCAGATAAACGCGAAAAAAATCCCAAATGTTTTTTTTTTGAATTTCGAAACAAACAGAATATATGATAGGCCCTGCGCACTTCTATCTACATACCAAATGTTAGATCGATACATTCTTTTTTGACCAAGTTATAGCGAAATAACTGTTCAAAATTGATGACGTTAAATTTTTGAACTCAATTTTTAGCAATTCTAGACCACGTAGCGCAAAACAAAAACCACCACTAACTCCCCGTGACGAGCTGCATCAAATCGAAACCTATTTTATGCCAAAATATCAAGTTTGAAATTTGACCTAATTTGACCTGACCTTGACCTGACCTTCACCAGAACATAACCTCAACTGGTCCCAAAGGCTGCCTGACCCACATAATCGCATTTGTCCTGTAAAATGGACCATGAAACATGCATCACATGATATTTTTCATATTATGACCCTCAGTGGTCTGGCCTCTGTGACCTTACCTGGCATCAGTGACCTACACTTGCAAAATATGTATTTACAGTTTAGCCGACAGGCGACATGTCAAACTATTTGTTACGCTCGTTCTTCAGTCGATACTGTGCCATCGGAAACTTACAACCGATGGGCACGTTGAAACGTAATTATTAAATGATTATTATTAAGACCCGAGCATTGTTATTGAAATACATCCCTACCAGTTTTCGTAGTTTGTCTCCAAGGACGTTCACGCACACGGCCCTAACTGGGCGGCATCACTGCACATTCACATTCCACATTGTAGCTGACGAGTTTCGGTCACGGGTCACGGCAGTCGCGTCTGTGCCAGTGGGATATGCGCAGCGGGGAGGGGTACGGATACGGGATAACGGCACGCAAAGGTGATAACGCGCGACGGAGCCTATATGAACAAGCGCAGTGGAGTGTGCAGCAATAAATCACAGGATGACCGGATCTGAATCTGAAGACAGGGTGCCACAGGCAAAGGATCAGTTCTAGGTAGGTACTATAGGGGCCATCAGTTCTACTATCCATGTCTAATTCTGAAAGGCGGAAGCTGCATGATAAGTTGTTAGTAATACCCAGATCAACTATTTCTTAACTTATTCTCCTCCACGTCTTCAAAATGATGTCGTGGTAGGTTATGCTAATTTTAGGTAGGTATGCCGCTATTTTTGGTTACATTGTATTTGCAACGACTTATTAGTTAGGCATTATATCGTGCTCGATCATGGTTTGACCCTCATCCGGTATATAAATATAGGATTGTGTTATAACTCTACCGGCATACCTAGTATAACATAAGCTATAACTTCACCCTCGCACTTATAGGGGGGGGGGGGTCGTACGGACCCCTCCCTCGCTTTTTCGCAAATAACTCGCGCAAAAAGCAGCCGAGCGCAACAAAACTTTCAGTACCCTCGAGTCAATTAATTTTACCCATACTCGTAAAATTTCATGAACCTGACTCAAATGACCTTTGACTTGTGACCTATATTTCTAGAGACCATGTTTGGCCGGAATCGCGATTCGGTGTATGTCAGCTCACATTATCCGCGCGTTTGTAGTCTTTTCGTGGTTTTAAACGCTGAAATATGTGAAATGATGCTGGTCCAAAGCATCATGGTGGGTGTCAAGGTCACGTGAAGGTCAGGTCAAGGTCACTGACCTTTGCTGACCTTAGTTTTTTCTTCTAATTTTACATGTTTCTAGAGTAATTTTTTGTAGCTGATTTCGAATTCAGCAACCCTTTTGAACATTTACGATGTAATTTTGGTGTCTTCGTAACATGTTACGAATACACGGTACACCTACTATGAATACCCGGCAGGACGCGTACTGGTAGACCTGACCTTAGTTGACCCAACCTGATCTAACTGCATGAAGACATCTGTGATCAAAACTCAGCGCCCCGGAACAGCCTCACTTTATGAAGTTCTAAAAGGTCCCGATTCTCCCGAATTCGGGTTATTGACCTGACCTGGAAGGTCAACCAATGATCTGGGACCTTATAATTGGGTATCATCGGCTTCCTCTCGTTACAGGCAACACGTTCGTTTTTTTCGTGAGGCTCCAGGTCGATCAGGGGTCGAACGGCAAGGGGGCCCAACCGACCCCCTCTCCCATACTTTCGCGACTGGCAAAGCACCAATTAGGGACTGGAGGGCTTAAAGCTGACCGTGGTTAGCGCGGAAGAGTAGAGGAAGGTTTGATGATTCGCCTCTTCTAGAAATCTCGTCCGCCTCCCCTCCCCCTGCTGTTTCCGGAGTCCTGACTTCCCGAGTCATGTATTTACTGATAGGTATTGGCTTCGTATAGGTAGGTAATTATGACATGAAATAACGACTAAATGCTACAGAAGAAGCCCCTCAAACTGTCGATTGATTCTATGGACTATTTAATTACAACGAAAACTAATCGGTACACGGTTTATTTCAAACCTAACAGATATACTTTTTTTAGGCAATCCGCAACGCAGGTGAAATCCTTGTGTGAAATGATAACAAAATCATCGATTGTCGTAATTATTGATTTGATAATTACCTATCATTCAATTGGAATAATTCATATTAACAAATAATTGATAATTGATAGCTATTGATAATTGATAACTATTAACAACAATAATTAATAATGAATAATAATCAACATAACAATAAATAACAACAATATTTAACTGTTTTTTTGTTCTCCCAGGAAGGTGCGCAAAATTTGTCACTCATGACGAATGACAACTATCCACAAGTACCTACTTAACACAGAAGTCACGTAATACAAGTTATATTGCAGCCAATCGCATTCACATAATGTCAGAGTATCATTACAAACACCCAGACAGACGCGG